TTCTGACAGGTGTGAAGTGATATCTCATTGTGGTTTTAATTTGTATTTCCCTGATGATTAGTGATGCTGAGCATCTTTTCATATGTCTGTTGACCATCTGTTATGTCCTCCTTGGAGAAATGTATATTCTGGTCCTCTGCTTATTTTTTAATCAGATTGTTTGTTTTTTTGATGTTCAGTTGGATGAGTTCCTTGTATTTTTTTGGATAACACCTTTTCTGAATCTCTTCTCCCATTTTTAGTAGATTGTCTTTTCATTTTGTTGATTTTTTTTAATCTATACAAAATCTTTTTAGTTTGATGTAGTCTTATTTATTTACTTTATTTTGTTTCCCTTGTCCGGGGGGACATATCTAAAAAATATTGCTAAGAGAGATGTTAAAGATTTCACTGCCTATGTTTTCTTCTAGGGGTTTTGTGATTTCAGGTCTGACATTTAAGTCTTTAATGCATTTTGAGTTAGCTCCTGTGTACGATGTAAGAAAATGATCTAGTTTTATTTTTTTGCATGTATCTGTCCAGTTTTCCCAACATCATTTATTGAAGAGATTGTATATTCTTCTTGTATTCTTTCATCTTTTGCCATAGATTAGTTGACAGTATAGGTATGGACTTATTTCTGGGCTCTCTACTCTGTTCCATTGATCTGTGTGTTAGTTTTTATGCCAGTACCATGTTGTTTTTGGTTACTATAGCCTTATAGTTTGTTTGATATCAGATAGTGTGATACCTGTAACTTCATTCTTTCTCAATATTGCTTTGGCTATTTGGGATCTTTTGTGGTTACATATAAATTTTAGGAATATGTATTCTAGTCCTGTGAAAGACGCCATTGGTGTTTTGATAAGGATTGCATTGAATCTATAGATTGCTGTGGGTAGTATGGCCATTTTAACAATGTTAATTCTTCCTATGAGCATGGTATAGCCTTCCATATACTTGTATCTTTTTCAGTTTCTTTCTTCAGTGTCTTGCAGTTTTCCAAGGACAGGTCTTTTACCTCCTTGGTTAAATTTTTTCCTAGGTATTTTATTATTTTTGGAATTCCTGGGAGATTCACCCAGGTGGTTGTGTGTGTCACATTTGCTCTTTCAATTGCTGAGGAGTGTAGAATGATGTACCACGGTTTGTCTAACCATAACCTGTTGAAGGACAGCTGAACTGTTTCAAGTTTTTAGCTATTCTGAATAAAACTGCTATGAACATTTATGTACAGAGTTTTCATTTCTCTTGGATAAATACCTAAGAGTGTAATTGGTTGATTGTGTGGTAAGTACATGTTTAATTTTTAAAGAAACTGCCATATGGTTTTATATTCCAGGTAGCATGTGTGAATGATCTAGTTTCTCTACATCTTCACCAATATTTGAAGGTGTCGCTATTTGATATTTTAGCCATTCTGATAGATATGTAGTGCTATCTCATTGTTGTTTTAATTTACATTTCTCTGATGGCTAATGATGTTGAACATCTTTTTTCATATTCTTATTTGTCACTTATATATCATCTTTGATGACCTTTTGCAGTTTTACTCCTTCATTTACCTTTTTTCAAATTTGGGTTGGGGGTGGAGTTTCTGGCCAATTACCTTTGACATGTGTTATAGTATACTTAGGTGGGAGGAAACAGATCTGCTACTAAAGTAGAACATATTCCTTACTCTGGTTCTCAGCTCTGTGTTAGATAGAGTCTCTGGGAATACAAAGACAAATGAGACAAGAACCTTAGTCTTGAAGTTCTAAAACTATCTGGCACTTTTGGAAAGGGAGGTCGAAAATATGTTGAAGTCTGTGATTTCCAAATTGCATGACTTCAAAGGATGGAAAGAGCAGACACGTGCCAAGGATTCAAATTCATTTCATGTGAGTTAAGTGTGCAAAAATGTCTTTTCCTAAAGATGGCTTTCCAGAGCAAGGGGCTGAGTGGCACAACAGCCCTCCCAATTATCTCTATGCCTCCAAATCCCACTCCAGCCTTCAAATCCCACAAAGGCACTCAGCTGCCAATGAGAAGACTGGGGTGAGACTGATAATAGGTTCTTCGAGAAACTTTTTCTGTCCCCTCTCTCTTATTTTTTGGGCTTCTGAATTTTTGGGGTTCCTGAGAATCTAGATCTATGTGTATGTCTAATTGATCACTCTAGTGTTGACCCCAGCATATACTTGAGTTCTTAATTTGAATTTGGGTAAAAGACATTCATTCTTTCCAGG